AATCGGGCTCGAGGGTCATTTCACGACTCCGAACGTGGCGCTTATGAGAGGAATCATTGACAAACTCGCGACGCTCGAGCTTCCGATCTGGCTCACGGAGGTTGATATCAGCAACACCCTCGACCACCACACTCAGGTAAAAAACCTCTGCCGTTTCCGGTTTAACTCGGTTTAGTTAAGTGAGAAAATACTTCCCTAAGCTAAACCAAATGAACCTCTATTTGAATCCGGTTCTGATGACACATTTCTGTGGCTTTTTAATGGATTTTGGATGTAAGAATGATTAAAGAGGAAAATTTTGATGATTTTAGTTTATTTTGCTTTATTCGGAGTGAAAATGTTCGGGTCGGCTCTTTCGCAAAGAGAAAAAGATTTCGAGCACGAGATTATAAAATGGTGAAATGAAACATTTTATATGCGTTTATGTTGAAATGAAATCTAGTCATTTGTTTTTTTTTGTATATAGGCAGTTTATTTGGAGCAAGTGTTACGTGAAGGATTCTCGCACCCAGCAGTGAACGGTATAATGCTATGGACCGCACTTCACCCGAATGGCTGCTACCAAATGTGCCTCACCGACTATAAATTTCAGAACCTACCCGCCGGAGACGTGGTGGATCAGAAGCTTCTAGAATGGAAGACCGGTGAGGTTAAGATGAGGACGGACGACCATGGCTCCTTCAGCTTCTTTGGCTTCTTAGGAGAGTATAGAGTTAGCATCCAATACGAGGGTAAGACGGTTAATTCAACTTTCTCGCTATCTCGAGATCCCGAGACCAAACATGTTAGGCTCCAAATCTAACAAGTGAACTATATAGTCTATAACTATTATGTGTAAGATTATCTTGTGGTGGATAGATTCTTCAAGACTTCAAGTACAGAGTAATAACAAATAATTTGAATTTACTTGTGGAGAAAAGGTGACATCGAGGTCAAAAAGGGAATAACTGGGACGTGACTTTGTGGCGTGGGGATACTTTTTTCAGAAATTTTATAAACATTTTGAGACATAAAATCAACAAAAATCCCTGAAAAGTAACATAAAAAAAGGCAAAGTGGCATCATTCACATCACACAACAAGCCATTAACTGTGAGGAGGCCCAGCTTTGGCTCTGGCGACATTATCATAGTCTTAAATGTTATCTTTTCTCCAAGATTTAAGAAACAGACCAACCATTATTCAGACATAATAAATATCGGTTTTAATTGGCGGATTATACTTTGTTGACTAAACCCACTTAAGATCATTGAATCACCAAACATATCTCACATTTCAAACAACATGAAAGCAATCTTCAGAGAAGATGATGAAACAAGAACAGGCACACACAAAGCTACAATGCAAAACCCTAAAACCGAAAACATCGCAGTCCTACGCCAAACATCGAGTATCCACACAACATAATCCTAACAAAACGACTACTAAAATCAAAGATGATGCTACAAGAAAATAAACGGAAACGCAAGTGGTAGAACAGTAAATGCAGTGACTAGCATTGCCATTGTAGTGCTGCCACCTGATCTGGTCGAGTCTCCCATTGCCAAACCAGCCATCCATGATCCGTCCTGCAACATTGTCGTCTCTCCCGAACCATTACCCGAACCAAGCTCTGGTCCAGTACCCTGAGACCCGTACCCATA